TGTGGTCTTGAACCGCTCCGGGGCCAAAGAATTAATATTGGCCCGATTACGTTTCCCTGATACCCGCGATGAAGAAAAAGACCGGAGAGGGCGTGGACACAACCGTTTACTTCAGAGCTCAACCACGTTGGTGTCGTGTGTGGGGTTTGCGCATGTGTATTTATGCCTCGGATGTGTGAGTCATACATGCGCTAACATCGAGACCCATGTGTGAGGATAATCCAAGATAAATATTCATGCGAATGAGGGGGAGTTGAGGATCTGCTCGGCTGGCGACATGCTGCGAAAAGGGCAACCCTGTGTCGGAGGTGGAGCAACCGGATTAGGGGGTGTGAATAAACACGATCCACAACACTGGCTTAGTTAAAGTGTATGGCGACATGCAGGCCTTCTCCATAGCCAACAATCGACCACAGATACCAGAATAGATAGCGTCATTCGCGACATCCATTTCATTTGCGATTTCGTAAAACATCCTGAATCAGCTGGTTACTTTTAAACACGGCACAAAAACAAGCCATTACCCCAAACTACCAGATTATTTGTGGCATTTTGAAGCCATAAAGAAGGCAAGCATTTGGGGCATAAATGAGTGGGACAGATTTTAATCTGCAGAAACATGTAAATTGGGGAGCTTCTAACACGGGAACCAAATTCCGAGGTTAATTTACTAGTTGCGTTTTGTAAATTGATGTCTGAAACACAAGTCGACCCGTTAACTACTTCTATGGACGACGATTCACTTTCAAAGCTCATGATTTTACAACTGCACGAACTACTACGGCGGCAATCAACAACCAAAAATCAATCAACGATCGCTTCGACTGAGTTCTCTTCCGCAAATAGAAGAGCTATGGTGTTGATGTTAATTCGAAAGATGCACCAATTTTGCAGTGGATCGAGATCATGAGCGACTCTAACCTGGAACTTATTGGGTACACATGGGTGGCAGATCAAAGTCACGAATGTCTTGGGATTAAATGCTTGCGCACTTGTGCGAGTCTAAAAGTCAAAGCTGTGAGTATTTTAAGAAACAACCGGCATTGGGGAATGACAACTCTGGGCACATTCTGATTGGTTCTGGAGATGGGTTGAGGGAACCAACAAGAAGCGCAGCATCAGGGCAAATTATTCACCATCCCCACAAGTCATTTTGGGTGTGTACGTGCCTACTTCTTCGAAGGGTGGCCGTCACCCTGTAAATTAGACGGAAAACTTCGAGGAGGTGCTTCGAGAGAGAATCTTACCAACTACACAGCAGAACAAGCCCCCTTGATCGATGATAAACTGACCCATTTTCGGATTTAGTTATAAGTGAACAGTAGCGCTGTTACTTATACATCAGTTCGAAACAAACCATGTGGCGAAATTTCACATCCCTGACCAGTAAAAAATGGCGCGACTGTAAGGAAGTCGTAAAAAGATGAAGTCCCCGGAGAGGTGACTGTGGCGACCATAAAAAACCCACTGGAGGAGGCTATTAAAATGTAATTTATACCCCATTTAACTGTCAAGCTATGACAGCGCGAATGCTCTAAGGTAGGCGTGGGTAGACTAGGCCCGTTGACATTTGATTTGAATAACGACGTTAGTGCAGCAAACGAAGACACAAAAACCCAATTTCCCAACCACTACATCGATTTATTGATTCGACGAAGACACTCTCAGCCCCAATTGGCTACTCCCGACGCCCACAACCAAACCACACAGCACATAATTGAGCAGATGGCAACAAGGACAGCGCTCAATCCATAAATACGCGGTCCCGCACAAAATGATTGTGAAACCCGTACAAAACAGCCTGGGATGTTGCCAAACCTAAGACGCTTCTACTACTGCCAGCACGTAGGCACTCCCCACAATTCGCTTCCAAAACTACATCGAGTTGCAGCACGCAATCACTCAAGGCGTGAACAATGTAGCTTAAACTGGGCGCACTGTGACACATGAAGTACCCCTGACGGGACACAACAACCCCACCACGCAGAGAGCGCAACAAACATTCATTATAAAAGCAGGGTGTTGTTTTACACGATATCTGCACGCACAACGGCGCCGCACGCAGTAAAGGTAAGAAAATATACATAATACAGATATGTACAGGCTTGTGTATGCGCTAATAGATCGTGAGTGGTGGTGGGGGGAAGGGGACATGTGTGTAACATGGTTTGAGCAGCATCCTTTTCAGATCAGTGTGACAGAGAGGAGGGTACGGGGTGATGGCGAAGGAATGTCTCAGCATGAAGTGGAGTTCCAGTCCTAGAAAAAGCAGTCGGCCGTGGATGAAGGAAGCACGCTTGTGGGTGGCTCATATCTACATGAAAGGCAATCGGGGCGTCGTGATGGATGTGTGTACTGAGATCAGGAGAAACGCCTTTCGGGGAAGCAGCGACGGGTGTGGAATCGATTACATAACTCAGACGAATAGTTGGGTAAGAGATCCTGCTCATTTCTATATACACGCCTCACAAATGAAGAGATATTTACATGGCTGTACACATAGAAGACGGGTACACTCACTGAGATCAGTTCATCCACTTTCGACAGCCAACTGCCCCACAGAGACAGGGGATTTTGCTTGGCCGATCCTCAAGGTCAAACTGGTAGTCATAGGTCAACTCTTCGCCTTTCTCGATTTTCCTCTTAGTGACTATCACAATATGCCCTTCGTTATCAAAATTCACATATTTTGTGAAACAATTTGGTTGGCACGAGTGGTTGATGTAGCGCGCTGGACCCCCACACATGGTTGCGTCGATTACCATGTTGTCTTCGAGCCTGAACATATATATGCCCCGATTTCGCGACTCATACTCCTTCTCTCTCTTGTTCGCCAACTCAAGTCGGATAAGCTCACCGATGTATTCGATAACGATCGTGTTCTGCTCCAAATCATGCGCAGCAAACAGCCCGAAGCCTTGTATACGCGACCGACCAAAAGCAACATTGCTTTGAAATTCTCTCTTCAAGTGTCGATACTGATGCGACCAGCTGGTAAAGCTAGAATTCTTCGGTACTCCAAGATCCATGGACAGACGATTCCACGACTGGAGTTCGCATGCAGTAGATATTCCAGTAGGTTGGCGGCCGTAACTCCTGAATTGGCGACATGCTGACTTTGTGGGAGATTTCTCGTGGGGACTAACAAACGCCCGCTTGCGTCGGAGGTAGGTGAGAAAGTTGGGTTCTGAACGAGCGCACCCCGAAGGATTGATGGCGAGTGGCATTCCTGGAATAAGTTGCAGGCGGCCAAAATGGAAGGCGTAGTCGACTAGGTTGTCTACACCCGGCAGCGACTCAACTGCCCGCACAATCTGTGGCTCCGACAGACCAAACATATCTTCTCCCCGAAGCCGATCAGGAAAGTTTTGGATAAGACCATTGGCTTGGCGAAGTTGCCGAATCGTCCTGGAAATTTCTTTCCATAATTCGTTACAATCTTCATTCTGAAGCACAACATCCGGAAGACCCTTGTCGACAGAAGTGACTTGAAATAAAGGCCGACCATTGGACTCCTTGATCTCACAGTGGTAAAGTGCGCGCTGACCAGGACGGCGCATCGACCAATAAATTCGTGTGGAAAGGAAGTTCACAGGGTAGATGTACTTCCGGCTGTGGAAATTCTCGTTCTCGATTTGGTGCGGCAGTAGCTGCCCAACATTGTGCAAAATTACGCTACCAATGCGAACCCGGCGGGAGCGTGCCTCGTCTTGTATCACACTGGCAACCTGGGCGCCCTCGTCCCGAGTAAGATACACCTTTCTGCTCACCGTTAACGAAGTCAGCTGCATAGGATGAGGATCGCGGGGTTGGTGATTGGGGCAGTACATTCCACGGTCTGTAAAAAACATACAACCAGCATCAATGGCGCACGGCACGTGGTACACAAGAGAGCATCGTGGGTTGTAGCAAGGCAGACCCGCACCGAACTTTCCGCAGTGTGAGCAAACCGTCTTCAGAGCGCGATCAATGCACTCGTCCACTTTGTGTAGGGAGCCACTCACCGACTCGTAGATCTCGTAACACCAAAGAGCACAGTTCAGGTGAATCCACCGATCAATCCCAAGGCACAGGAGACGTTCCGCCGATGACACACTAGCATCGCCCTTGGAACCACACAAGATGCACGACCGTAAATCTGCGACATCCAAGTCGCGGATGGTTGTGCGGTGTAGCTCAGCGTTCGTTTCGTTTTCAGCCGGGGTTAGGGGAACAGTGGCAAACTTTCGCGTGTGATACAAGTCGGACCTGTAGACACGCCAACGCACATCGCGCCACCTCTTCTGCTTAGGTGACACTTTTCGTTTTCCAACGGCGAGAGCCGAATTGCGGCGACCGAGGGTCTGCAGTTTGAGGCTCTTGTGGGGCAAATGCTGTAGGAGGACAGGAATCGTGCCCGGAATGCCACCGAAGACGAGTTGGTGAGGGTGATGACGCGACTCAGCCACGGAGGGGGCCTGATCCGATGCATTGTTGTTAGCTTGCGCGTTACAGTGCGGAGGTGTGCATGAAGAGAGAAAGGCGCCAAATTTGTCCAAACACCCATCACTACAAAATGCGAGGACGTCAGAACAATGGTAGCCATGGTCAATTGTCCAAGAGGCGCAACCGGCGCCAGCTATCTCATCAAGCTTCCGTCTCAGCCCCTTGCCTTGTGGGACAACAGAATTACACACGCGACAGTATTCTCCACTTGGTCTCTTTGAGGACAAAATTGAAGCCACACTAATCGGTTCTTCTTTGTGCTTAACGGTAGCAAACATCTGGAGGGAGGGGTCCTCTGATTTCTCCTTTTGTAACTCAGCAAACAATTTCATTTGGCTCGAAATTTCTCCAGTATCCTCGACTTTTTCATGAGCAGCCGCTGAACCCATTCGGACCAACAGAGTCGGAAAGTATTGCCTTAAGTGGGCTTCAAACTCACGCAAATTGTCTTCGAAGTGAGTAGAACCATTGGACTGGAAAGTGATTTCACCCTCCCCGTTTGTCATAGCGTAAGTGACACAGCTGGGATTGATTCCAAGCCGGCTACATATATACTGCAAGAGCCTTGGTACATCCTCAAACTGAGCTGGATTGATTGTGAAAATAACACGGGCCTTTCCGTCCTCGAATTTGGATTTATTTATGAACGAAGGTACTACTGGTTCACGGCGAGAAGCGACAACTTCCCCAGTCTCACAGTCGATGAAAGCGCTCGAATTAGTCTCAGCAACAGGATTCTTTTGAGATGAAGGAGCTCTCAGCAAACACGTGTTTGGGATATGGCAGAGCGGAAGGGGAGGCGTTTTTCTTTCGGCAGGACCCTCAAGAGGGGGGCATGGCGTCTTCAGCATCTGCAGTATTGAACACCGTGAGTCAGAAGCGGCGGCAGCAACACTGGAAGCAGCATCCGACGGCATAGTCAGTGGGGTTGATGCATGAGGAGAGTCTGATTGCCTTATACTCGTAAAAAAAGACTGCATTCGATTTTCAAAAGTTACGGGCTTAGGCGACACACAAACACGAGACGGGACATCTGGGATTTTGCTCACATAGCCAACACCCTGCATAGTTGGACGCGACAAAGGCTGGAGCAACCGCTGATGCAAATAAAGGTCACCCAGCTCGGCCGCAGATTCGGAACCGGTGGTGGGCGGGACGGTCTTCAGAGCAAGGCCGCAACGTTTGTACTTAGCGCCGCAATTCTTCAGCCAGGATTCATCATTTGTTGAAGTCGCATTTACTGTACACGTGGGACCAGCTAGAGGAGGTAGGGCGCAAGAAAATGCCTCCATCACCGGATCTGACAGGAATTTCTTCGAGTCAAAATACATTAACTTGTTCAATATCTCTTGAACAGCAGCAGTTTGTCTCGGTGGAGGCTGTAATTGCGTAAATTCCATATTCGAAGGAGCTACGAGCGGATTCCGGGCTGCCGCCATCTGTCCGACGGAAACTGTGACCTTAGTACCTTGAGTGATGGGCTGATGTCCCGAATTAGACTTTTTTCTTTTGGAAGAGGTAGAGGAACGCTTCCTTCCAGCAACAGGCCCAATAGCGGACTTCGACATGTCCGCATACTGCATTGCGTGAGGCGCGGCTACACCTACCTGCTTTACAGCGGAAGCCACTTGGGTAACGCCATTGGGTACAGTAGGCGTATGCGGTGAATAGCTAGCTTGATTCACGAACTCTAGTGTAGATTCTTTCTTCACAGCAAGCGGATTAGTTGATATGTTCGGCCTAGGTTGAACAGTCGTAGGGACAGTAAAAACAGGACCTGTGGAATCATAAATTTGGCGTTGAGGGATGTATGCAAACACCCTGGGTTGAAGATGTTGCTGATTTTGTTGGTGTATCTGTTGAAGAGACTGCTTCTGGATGTCCGACTGAACCGGTACAATGTTTGCAGTGATCTTCGTATCGGCAACAGCCATAGACACTTTGGACACAATTTGACGAGGACCGTACCCATGCGGTTGAACAGCCGTACTTGAAGGATCGAAATATCCACCTTGAGTTATCCCTTTGGACTGCATGAAAGACGTATCAACTGAATCTGCAGTTGGGGTCGTTTTCATTAGCATCGCAACAGTCGACGGTGGTAACGGTCCTGGTACTTGAGTGGTAGGTTCACGCACAGGTTGCAAACGAAACCTTTCGCGCTGCAAATCGCTAATCATAGCACCCGGGGTTGACCCATTCCCAGAAGGTGCAGGACGTTGATGCAATTGGAGGCCACCCTGGAACTGATCGATTGGTGCGCATCTGGGAAAAGAGTGGGTTGAGATTACCATTGAGTTCGGGGGAAGAGCGGAGTTGGAAAAAGCGGGAGATATAAGCCGAGGGGAACTAGACGGTGATACAGGGGGCGAAGTGTTAAGACTGGAACTAGGTGTACTACCTTGATTTAGAGGTGACGGCATTGGAATAAACTCCCGGGTTCGAACAGGCAAAACAAAAACGTCCTCGTGTGGCTCATCACTTCGCGCCAATTCGAGCACGTGATCTATAACTTGCTCAAGTTTACCCGAAGTTGAGCGATCATGATCCGTCGATGAGGGAGTGTTCGAGATAACAGATTCTACTCCTATGTTAGAGGAAGCATCTTCACAAGGTTGTGTAGACAAGACATTATTTACTACAGTCACTGGTGCAACTTGGTTTGTCAAATCACTTGGAAAAGGTGGAGCAGGATGTTGAATCGGTGCTGCAATTGCACGTGCCTCAACCGGACCAACGCTATTTTGGCATGGGCGTTTGACCGGTGAAGGGGCCTGGACACAGCTTTTGAAAGCTGTGGAACGACACTCAGGCGCAGCTGGGCTGCCATTAGAAAATGACTCGACAGAACGATCATTTGGAGCAGGCGGTGAGGCACTCGGCTTCCTTTTACACGACGAAATAGTCGGCCGGACAGTGCAGTTACTGAAGTTATCTCCAACAACGGCAAAATTAGCTGGAAGTGACACAGGAATCTGCGGATGAGTTGCATGACGACTGGCAAAAAGAGGTCCTGTTTGGCGGTTAGGTACTCCCGAAACACTCGACAGGAACAGCTGCGCGTCGTTTGTTTTTGAGTCCATTACAAAAATCCGTCTGAGTTAGCTGTAGCAGCGAAGCATCTTTAAAGGTCTAAAAATATTAGGGAAAACGTATCCGCCACGGCAAAATAAAGATGAAGGTGCGCAAGCCACATGGTATCGACAGAAAAATGCGAAGAACAACAAGTCTAAATACTTTCACGAAATAAAAATGAATGAACAGAATTTTCAGGGCAGAAACACTTACGAAATACATCTGTAGAAGAACTTACCAAACAAAACATCACACCATCCTAAAATAATCATCTTAAGCCCAATAAACAAAAGTTTCGCGTTTAAAGTAGGAAATAAAATATAAATAGTAAGAAAAACAACAGTGCATGTTCAATCCAAATTAAACTTGACTTCGATAAATGCCAGTTAAAGTTAAAGATTATTGTGACATTTGATTAAAAATTAGATCCCTATTGAGCCACACCACATTTCGTTTTTTGTAGTGGCAAGTATGCGAATTACATTTCGATACAACTCTTCATAATTTAATAAATCAGCACAACGATTTAATGTCTGGGGCACTTTATTGGAACCACGGCATTTTTTGACACCAAAAATTACTTAAATACTGCTTCAATTAAAGATTTTCTGGAAAAAACTTTATGAATTTAGTCTTAAAGTAATCTGGTACCAATCGATATGATGCACAATAAAGTATCATTTTGTCCCACTTTTAATGACTTTCTTTTACTAGGCATCTCTATTACATAATAAGGGAACCCAAATTTGGCGTGTCATCATCTGTAAAAATTCGGATCCTCCGTTTCCCTATAAAAAATGAAATCAAGCCCTAGAATGTAATTAATGGCCAGCTGTTTAGATTAAACAATCAACAGAATGCAAATCAAATAAATTTGAATTTTTCCGAAGAATTCGTTGCTGAATCCTTTTTTCATGGAACACGATTGCAGGTTTCTTTAAACTACAAAACACGTGAAAAATTTAAAATCTTATCACATCAGTTTATTTTAAGCTTAACATATTGTTTGGGAATGCTGCATTGCAAATTAAACTATGCACATCCTTTGCTCTAATCGGTATTTTGGTGGACATCAATTACGGATGACAAATTTTTGCTATATTATTATTGTTATTATTATTATTAATGTGCTCCATTCATCAATGTACTTGCTTCTGGCATTGGTCCCCAAAATTATCATAATGTGTTAATCAGGGTTAACCAAGATAATCCAATAAATGCATACAAGCAAGTCCTATTTAATGTTCTTTATATTGTACAACTGATCGTAGTTTAATATGATTACAAAAATCCTAACGAAAATTGACTTGAAGATTTCCTAAATAGAACAGGTCTGCGTAGTTGTTAAAATTGGAGCCTCGTCATGCGTCTTAATTTTTTACTGGTGAATGAATTTAAATGATTCTTGATACACTATTGGCAGAGTCGAGATCAACTTAAACCGCTTCACCTATGTTGTACTCATTTCCTTGCAAACTGAGTAAATTAAATTTTAACGAATTAATATCTGTGAATTACAAGTCTTTTACTATCAAATTACTTATAAGTTTAAAGGTTGGCAGCTTTCAAATATTTGCTTGCAATATCTACTCTTGTCAAAATTTGAGATTATTCACTAATCATCGATCAAACACTCTAAGTAAAGCCATTTAAACGAACTGCTTGTCCAATAAAACGATGACAGGTCGATGTCAACATTTTCAACTCTCAGTATAACGAATGACGAATTTTAGACAACAGCATTTACTGCCTTTTATACAAACTTGTGAAATTCGTTTTGGGCTGTTCATGGTCTTACTCTTATATAATTAGAAGGAGAAACCCTTTTGGATGGTTTCTTCGAAAAAAAGCTGAAGACTATTGGCTCAAAGCCATGCAAAGCAAGTCGAAAACCCTAACGGTTTCCAGATACTTGGTGTAAACAGATCTTTAATCAATCTCTCGAGTGCAAAACCACTGCGACGAGGTTTCCGCTACCTGTTGAATTTTGTTATTTGAATTCTTCGATTGCATGCGACAGTAACGGTGGGCTAAAGGTCGCATATTAACGCGTCTTCACAAACCAATTATAATATGCTGGGGAATATCGTCCAACAAATGGCATTAAAACGAAAGCAGGAAGAAGGATGAGCACTGAATTTGAAATTTCTTGAACTGTTTACTGTCATCACAAACCAAATGGTCAACCCTGTTCCCTACTTAAAGTCAAATAAGTAGCATGCAATGTCATTTTTTGGCTCGGTGTTCTGCCTACCTTCTCCCAAATCCCTTTATGTGTCACCTCTCAGATTTACAACCTCACTAATCACTGGCACTGGGTTCGTTTACATAGGACACACTAAAAGCACCTGGTGTCAGCCATATTGTTGACTGAAACATTTAAACAACACAGCGGGGAAGCGCATCCAGAGGAGAAGCACCAGTGGTTAGATTGTGGCCTGTTGGCCGCATCACTTCGATCTTGCTGTTCACTAGGCAGCTGGACTTTGGCTTGCACTCTCCAAAAATCGTTCTTTTCGCTTTTTTCGATATTTCGTCCCTAGTTTTGTGTTCTCTTTTACCGCCTCACCTTTCCTTATCCATCTTTCAAGGTCATCGAAGGTAACTGCACACAGCGACATCTGAATGCATCAATGAGCGCTTTCTTCATGAGGTCTGGAATTTGAGTTTATGATTTTGGCCACTGGTGAGCAATAGAACATCCTCCTAATTGCCCGACAGTTAAATTTTGTGATACTGTGAACAAACTCGGTTTTGTAGAGATTCTCAAAATCTTATTCTGCTCAAATACAGGTGAGATAAGTACACTAGCAAGTGATTTTCTGATAAATATAACTAGTTGTAGAGGATTACAGCATCGTGTTTGGCACACATTCTTTTACTGCAGTAAAACAAACTGTTCAAGGTCGATTAATTAGGTTTTGGTTTGACTTCTTCTTTCCATCGTCATTTCTACTTTTTCAACTGGAATGCCGTAAAGGCACAGTTTGGTGGAATTTGTAGGTCAACCAATCACGTGCTTAGCCGAGTCAAGGTCATTGGTTGTGGATGTGTTCAAGACCTAGATACCGACGTTTGGGAGCCGAATTCCAAGACAATTAGCAAACAGCTAAGTCATAAATGTTTACTAGGTGGCTCAACAAAGCGGTGTGTTGATGTGTTGAGGTTTGCACAAACAACGTAGACGGTGGGGGTGGGGGGGGGCTGGGAGGGGGGACGGAGCAGACACCCAGGAAATGCAGTGACGCGAAGCACCAACGTGTTTGCTTCCTCGCCGACAGAAATGATGAACGCGAGTTAGCGCTGTTTGCCTCAAAACACACTCATAAAATTTCCTTGAAGGTGGGCAATTAAAATACCGCCACGGGTGTCTGCATGCGTAGCCACTGTTTACTCGTGTTGTTTGTTTTGATCAACACAAACAGAGCTAAAATTAATGTTTACCCAAGTAACGCCTGGCCCCTTTCAACTCCCTTATTGTCCCTCATAAATATCACAAAACTAGTTTTTATTTCATGGTTGGACGGTATCATAGATAATGCGTTCATTTAGTCTATAGAGCGTCGTGAAGTACCGAATTCAAAAATGAGGTGAATGTGTAAATATTTCGACTTAAACAAGACTAACGAAATCGATATTGGGGCACATTCTGCACACCGACAAGGAAACGGCAAATCACAAGTTTGAGCGGGGTCGTTGTTTTAAAGAAACAAACGCGCCAATCACACTCCCAGCCCCAGCTGACGCCCACGTGGTCAATCGATCAGCGTCGAACCGCACAGGATGGATTTGCCAGCCCTGACCGACAAATTGCCCATTTACCCGCCAAACATTCAGGGGGAATTGCGCCTGATCCTCCAAACGAAGGACATTTTTATGGTGTGTTACCGTCAATTGGAGGAGTATCGTCGACTCGTGAACGAGCAGAATCGACTCATCACGAAGGAGTTCGTGCAGGAGCAGCTGCAGGTGGGTGAGGACGAGATTGAGGAATTGAAAGCAGAGCTCCACGAGGCTGAGACGAAGTTGGGTGCTCGCGTGCGACACAACGAGATCCTCGCTGAACAGCTGGTCAGGCAGGGCCTCAGTGGAAGCGACAGAGTGCCATCGGCTCGGCATCTGGCGTTGGTTAGATCGCCACAGACACGCAAACTGATGCTCTCTCAGCGGAGGTCGAGTGCTGAACGGTACGGGGGTGAAGGTCGCTCGCAGGTTCACCTCCTGGACAACATAGCCCTTGCTATCGACGAGATTCACAGCGAGGTCAGGAATAAGGTGAAACCACTTCTGGACTACTACCGTGACCTCTTCTATCTACAGCTGCATTTCAGCATTGTCCTCGGCCAAGTATGCAACTACTGCATGCCTCTAGTGACGGAGAACATCGGTCTGCTTGAACGAGTCTTCTTCTGGGCCGAGCGTCCAGAGTTCGAGCTCATTCGCAAGGCCTCGGACATCTCCGATCGTCTGAAGGAGATCTACACCAGGGCGCAACAGATATACGGCTTCCTCACAGAGTCTGTTCGCTTCCTCCAGTCGAAGGTGGACCTGCAGAAGTCTCTTGAAACCCGGTTCCGTGAGCGCACCGATGAGCAGCAGGGGATCAAGGATAGAATCCTGCGAGACATCCACGCGGCCAAACTGAACATGGACATGCTAGAGGAGGAGAACGATCGACTAGTTGGCAGTCTGGTCAAACTGGATCCCAACTTCGTGGACAGCCATAATTTTGCCCAATTCGCTGAGCAGGGTTCGAAACCGTGCGTGCAAAGGAAGTCGACTGTCTCGAGTACAACTCAGGCCGGGTGTCAGATGGAGCCTGAGGTGGTGTTGAACGTGACCTCCCTGGACACCTCCAATCTGTCCATGATGAAAACCGAGGTCAACAACAGCAGAGGTCACCACGTGGCGGAGCAAGAACCGACAAGCAAGAAGGAGGGTAAGAGGAGAACTGAAAGGAAGAGGGAGCAAAAGAAGGGGTCTGAACGGCACGAAGTCACTCGAAGGGTTTCCAGTGAGGAGAACCGGGGTCCAGGCAAGGGGTCGCAGAAACGCGAATCACGTGGCAACGGCGCTGAAGGTCACCGAAGTCGGTCAAGACGCAGTCTCACGCACGACAACACTTCCAACCACACGGCCAGCGATCGCACGCGTCCGCAGAGTGAAGTGTATCCCACCGAGAAAGCTGCCAAGGCGTCGTTGAAGTCGCGTCTGCTGGACCGGACCAAGGGGCTGTTGGATCTGAGCAAGATTTGGATCAGAGACAGTGAGGATTCATCGTGCGGACCTCTGGCGTTGTCGGAGCACCCCGCAAAAGGCGACTCGGTATCAACTTCCACCTACTCTGCCCTCGACTGCAAGCGACCTGCGCAGCTGGAGAATCGGGAGGACGGCAAGAGCAAGAAGAAGAAGAAGGGGAAGCACAAGCATGTGATGCGCAAGGAGAAGCCGAGAATTGTGGTCCCCGAGTTCGAGCAGCTTTCTCTACGGAGCGAGGATCTGCTGTTGCTGAAGGATGGAATGACCACTGAGGAGTCCTCCAAGCAACCACAAAGACGAAGATCCAAGTCAAGAAGCGGGAGCAGTCGAAATGCCCTGGCTGTTTACCTGACAAGCTCTGGGTCTGATGGTCTGACAACCACGGACACCTCAGTCCTCCCAATGCTATGACGTAGGTGGATGCCTCCGCCGCCTTTTTTACGTCAAATTCCAAGAAGGACATCAAGGGGGCTGTGGATAACGCGGTGTTTTCGTGGTCAGACGCGATTTGGGCTTTCTTGGTAAATTTTCGGCGAAATCGCCTTTAAAGTGACACTCTCTGGCATTTACCGAAATCACCTCCAGCTCGTTCACACACATTTTTGTAGAAATATAATCTGTGACTGTCGAGTTTGTCTCAAGAACTTGCTTGTAATTTTAAAATTACGAATAGCGGTTTTTGCTACATCACCAAATTGCCCTTTCGTCGAATCAAATCTACTGATGTTAGTAAACTAGAATGTACTATAGGGATCGACTGAACGCCAAGTCAGATTACAAAACTGACAAGTTTTTCGGCAAAACGCTGGAAATACGCGCATTAATGAAGACTTGCTGAAAATGCTACTGTCTGGTTGTGAGTAGTATTGAAGTGCTGGAGGTCAACGGTGATCGAACTGGGATTTCTGATAGAGCTTTAATTTCCAATTTCTTAATTTTTGGAATAAAGACGTTAGATTAAGGCGATTTCCCCGAAGTCGTCTGTAGGTCGCGGATTGTTGAGCATGGATCTGCTATCCTAGCGGGTTTTAAACATAATGGCGTACTTATGCATAATTAGTAGAAATATTATTATCGATTCCGCTAAAGGCGCCATCGCTTCCGAAACTGCCGGAAACAGTACATAAACAAGAGGGCATGTAGTTAAATGTTTTATGTACAAAATCTTAATCAAAAGGCCCCTGTAGGTGTTGTGGTTATGGGAGTAAAGGAGAATCTGGGTGTAGTGCTGAGGAGGTCTTTAAGTTGAATGCTCGTCTTCATTTACCGTCTACAGGTAGCATGATCAGACTGACGGAGATGATATTGAAAGGGTGTCGTTGTAGAATAGGTTCACGAGAAGATTGGCTTTTTTTGCTAAAAGGTAATGATAAATTTTAAAGGAATTTAATTTTGTAAACGCCGATAGTCTTTCAACGCTACTCAAAATATTTAAGTAGGTTGTCTAGAATAGAAAATCTAAAAGCTGGTTACCGAATCAATTTGTCACAACACCCTCATGTAAGGCAAGGTAATTTACCTTAAGAGGGATGCGAGGAAAACCGTATAGGGGGTTATAATTGACCCCCTAATTTACGCTGTGTCAAAAATCGTGTTCTCAGTAGCGTCGATCGCAACTCTGCTATCCCGATTCTTCTGGCTCTCCTGCCATTGGTCGTTCTTTTGCAAAAATTCCTTTTTGCGAAAAGAGCAATTTTGTTGTCATAGAAACAGCACCGAGCACGATTAAAAAAAGTAAACAAAAACACGTGAAAATGAGGGATTTGTGGAATTTTGGCGACGTAAACATTTTATCAACAACTTACTCGATATTCTTTGTCCTTTCTTCGCATTTCCCTTCTCCGTTTACTGGCCTAAAATAATTCAAGCAATTCAAATTTCCGCCATTTTTTGACAAGGCACTGATTTAAACAAGCCATGCATCGCGACATTTACTTTACGCTAATTAGCAATTTTGCTTTGCAGTAGTAATGAGCAAAAACTTGACTCTCTGATTGGCGCTAATGCAGCAAACAAAAGTCGTTCTTTGAGGTTATAGGTCGGTCAGGTAACCTTATTTATTCCTACAAAAGTTGACTACAGAAAGCCATGAACCATTGCTCTTAAAATTGTTTAAATTCACTCTAGTAGGGTTTTAGGAAAGTTCAGTTTCCAAAAACGCCTGGTCATATACCTTGAGTTATGACTGAAATCAACGGTCGAATTGTGATTGGTGGTCCACTTCAAGTGTAAAACCTCAAAAAATTCGACGAGAAGTCATTTAACAGTTGTCTAATCCCCAGCCCCCACATCCACCATGAAATATCGTTTTGGTAAGATCACCTCAAGCAAGTTTTGGCGTCAAGTAGTTATCATTTAGCAAGGTGTTGTGGTGAAGCAAGTTGCAACAAGATCATAGAAGTCGTGTGGACGCTAATTTTGCGTTAGCCAAGTTGAGGAAATATCGTGTCCGAGTATTGCGTTGGGCGCGGACACAACGCAAACCAATCTAACTCCGCAACCGATGAAGGCTTTCAAGATGATTTTTTTGACGCAAACAATTTTAATACCATTAACACCGTGGATGCTTTAAATAGCCAAATTTTAAGCGTTAGATGAAATGACACCCACGCGACCGCTTAAAATTGAGAGCAGCTATTGTTATAAATAGTCATATAATGTATTGCGAGTGAGGCAAGCTATATTTCGAAATTCGACCAATCAGATTGACGCGGCCTTTCTGAAAATGTGATCAATAACAAAATGGCGAACCCCAGATAAAGTGAAAAGTGATTGATGAAGTTTCCCCATCTTCCAAATAAATATCAATGCAGTAAAGCCTTTCTACTGAACTTACTGAAAATTAACCTGCGTTAACATTAACTGAGCGTATTTTAAAGTACCAGATTAATAGAGGACACGGAAACTAGTTACATGCCTGATTTATGCATTTCATGTCATGCTCCTAACCAGCTCGAATGGGGCCGTCTGCAACACATATCGATCTAGATTATTGATTTTCCACTCTACATCCTTATGATCAATAATTTCTTGATGGAGTTAGCGAATTAATCCTGTCTCGTGGAAACTCATTGATATCATCCAAATCTCATGCAATTAATGCCTTATTTTTCGTAGTTTAAAGCGACATTTTGGTTGCAATTGCAGGCATTAAAAAGCCAAACCATTCAAAGCGAACCAGGTGATACTACTTTGTTTAAAGACAGACATCGACACGTTGACAAGAGCAATAATTCCTTCATTTGCGCATAATGGAATTAGATTAGTCAATTTAAAAACTAACAATAAAACCAGTCATTAGGAGCCAAAAGTACTTCAATTATGTATTCAGTGGAGTTAGTTAGGACGTGCGTACTCCTTTCGCATCTTGATTGCACATCAAATTTCTGCGGGCAGACATAAACAAAGGTGTGCGTTTACAAGCCAATCACACGCCTTAATTCAGGTAATCCTGTCGCCTTAAATGTGACACTTCGTTTCGATTGAAAATGGCAGTGAGGGCATTAAAACGGAGCATGTTTGTTGGATCTAATCAGCCTGCAAAGCGCAAGCAGCAAGGCGCTTATCACTGGCATTGTTTTAAAAACGGGCTTTTAACAAGTAAAGTTTGATTATTTCATTCGAAACTACGAAAAACTTCTGATTGGTTGATCCAACAAAGAGGCAAATTTAACTTTTGAAAAATGGATCAGCTGATATGGAAATGCTGTGGCAGTGTAAGGGAAATGTATCCACTCGAGATGGTGAGTTATAGCATTTTTGATTACCAAAAGTGATTTCAATTAAAATTGATGGTTTGGCTTCCCCAAGAATGTAGTTTACATGAGTTACCTAATTTTCTATTTTGTACACACCAATTTTACAATCATATCGACCGCTCCCTTCCTATTGGCTGATTCGTATTTGCAGGCCATTTATGAGTGGGTGTAGTTGAACGTTGGCCCTTGGCTGAGGCCCTGCCTGTGTACCAGCAAAAACCGCACACAACTTTGAACCGCGCGCTCAACAATAATAAATCAATTAAACAAGCAAGTACTTTTGCAGAAAACACAACTCGACTGATTCTGCCCATCCACTTACGTCAAAGTAGAGTATGAAGACGAAGATACAGTGCACGATGACGTATAACACGGCGAACGAGATGAAGACATTCCTCTCCAACCGCTTCATCACCTCCAGCCGCTGCTGCTCATCGGTCTTCTGAGCCTTCGGGAGTCGATTGGCTTCGATTTGGTCTTGAATGTCCATGTAGGCTCGTAGGAGGGCAAGAAAGTAGAGCGAGACTGTCTCATTGGTTAGTGTGAAATCACCGACTGAGGCACCGTTGCTTCGAAACGCCGACGATGGTGTGTACGTGGAAGTGGAAGGGTCAAAGAAGATGTCATTCGAAAGACTGGGGTCTGGGAGAAAATAAGGCACCAACTGAGCTAGCTTTTATAAATTGAATGAATAAATAAATTTGCAAATAATCTGCAGACAAATTCGAGAACACACAAAAACAATAAGTTATATGCTCGATTTGACGCTGATTCTGTGTTCTCAGGCAGTCACAAAGTGACGTTTCGTGGTTCTCTTGTGCTTAAGCGACAATTTGATTATGCATGCACGGGGGTGTGTTAATAGAATGAGTCATCTGTGCTTGCCAAGACAAAAATTCGTCCAGTTGTCAACTTGAAAGAAGGACATGTTTATTTTAAGTGTTGTAACAGACTTGGAATCGTCAAATTAAAAAAAAAGGCTAGTTTTGATTGGTTTCCAACAGAATGCTAGTTGCCAAATATGAAAACTACCTGAAAATTGTGCGCTTGGGTTAACCTCCTTCGCCAGTCCCTCAATCGCAGAGTTTTGGCTACCACTAACGGCTCATTCTGTTAACATATCTTCGTCTAGGCACAGAAGAATCACCAAATGCCGCTTTCTGATTTCTTGAGAACGTAAAATCTGCGCCAGAAATGAACACGTTACTTATTGTTTTGTATGTTATCATTACCTTGGTAGCATGATCCATTTCCACGGGATTCAAATTTCTATGTCGCGGGGTGCTGATTTGATCGTTTCCTGATGATGTGATCAGACACGATCGGTTTTGCATCTCTTGTGATTACTTGCAAATATTGACTGGTTGAGATAGAGAAATATCTTCTGTCTAACGCAGAACACACACACTTGTCTCCCTCGTGAGTGGGTCACACTTCAACTGATGTTATCGTTTTGTGGAGTGATACACGTAACCTTCCAATACCAATCTTGATGCAATAAGCTGCAATGCTTCAAATCTGTCGTTCGAAAAAGCAAACTGGTGACCCTTGAAAGAGGATCCAGGTTGAGTCAATTTCCCTGTGATCCAATCAGCTAGAACCGAATTCGTGTTCATAAACTAACCTCAGCGTTCATTCTTTCCCTTGGGAAATTCTGACCAATGATTTTGACCTCATTCATGATTCCTCTGCAGATTCACTTTAGAGTTTATTATCATTAAGAAGAATCGCTCAGGTAGGCTTGCAGATCGCAATATGCTCAGATGTGTTTCAAGGGTAAGACGTGTGTGAAACACGGTGTTTGAATGCAGTGTTGCGAATCGTGCTTGTACACACTCCTCAATCCGGTAGCTGCATCCTCCGACACAGGGTTCCCCTTTTCGCAGCGTGTCGCCAGCCGCGCGGATCCTCAACTCCCCCCTCATTAGTGCGAATATTTATCTTGGAATGTCCCCACACCTAGGTCTCGATGTTAGCGCATGTATGATTCACATATCTGAGGTATAAATACACACGCGCAAACCCCACGCACGACGCCAACGTGGTTGAGCTCTGAAGTAGACGCTTGTGTCTACGTCCTCTCCGGTCTCTTTCTTCATCGCGGGTATCAGGGAAACGTACTCGGGCCAGAGTCAATTCAGTGGCTTCTAGTCTGTTTCAAGACCACATGCTGGGGCCCACGACAATGAAAATTGTATCATGCACACAAGGTTTGAAGAAAAATACAGAAGCCACTGTTTTACGATCACAAGGATGGATCTTAGCATTTTTTGCTGAAATTCTGAAAGAATTGCGAAATATTCGACTCCATATTGGCAGAGCCGTCTCAAAAATTGACGTTTTTACTTAGCACTGCACAATTTCCTGACGGAATTTAAGAAAATTTTGGCCAGCTGAAGCGCAAAGCTACTTTCTCGATTCCGTGGCCATCATTACGAGTTTTTCGTAGGTGGGCGCAACCAATAAAATACTTTTTGGCCTTACACATAATCATTACCACCTAATTTCGGTGATCATTTGAAGAAGGCGAAGCCGTAGAGAACCATAAATGACTGTTTTTATTTACCTTTTTGGGCTCAAATTTTAGAGAGAGAAAGAGAAGGAGAAAGCAAAACGTTAATAGCTCAAAAAGACTGAATGTATTACTCAGCTACGATTGGAGGATCAACCAGAGCTGTTTCGGGTTTAACAATTCATAAAAAACCTGTCTTTTCGATCAATAACACGTAGTAAATGTAAGCCAGTCTTATTTGATAACAGAATAAAGTTGACCATTAGATTTACACGCATGGGCTAGCAAGTTGTCCTGTTGAATGAGTGTTTAAATTGTGACAATTAACATTGATTATGTAGCAAGACATTGAACTAGACATTAGATATAACTAAGAAATTATTCCCAAAAAGCTATCTGATAAGTGCAAATTGTTGCAAGAAAGCTTGAAGAAGCCAATTCTGAACCTTCTCCACTGGTACTTTTGAAGCATGCTTACCTGGTCCGCTGTTGCCATGGTACCCAGACGATGGCCACGTCCGTCTCCTCCGGTTCTTACTCCTGTCGCGCATTTGTGGAGTGGAAGTGGAGGTGGAGGCGCGATTGAGGGACTGGCGAAGGAGGTCAGGGTTGCCAGAGGTCACGCGGAACGCGGAAGCTGGTGAGGCGTTCGAAAACTTCTGCAACTCCATTAACGTGGAGTTGTCGCTGGCGTTCTGGATTGTGCTGATCGGAATAATTGTGATCACGGCATGCCAGATGCTAATTATGCACAGGATCGCCAGAGACATCAGCACATATTTATCCTGCAAGGCAAACGTGTTTGAGGCAGGGTCAATTCTCTGGTGGTTTTCATATTTGGCAACTAGCATTCTATTCTACTAGCATTAAAACCAACCTTTTTTTCAATTTGTCGATTTAAGTCTGTTACAACATTGGAAAAGAAGTATGCATCGCAAATTGAGTTGGATAAGTCAGAAATGACCAATCAACTAATGCTCATTCATGAGTAGACTAGATGATCGAACGATCAATTATTGACTGATCTGTTTGTTAAAAAGTTAGTAGGTGTGTGTTACTATGTGGTGCAAAATTTCATGTTCCAGGAATTTTTGGGGTACAATTATGCAATGACTGGCCACTGAATAACGCGCTTTAATTGTGTTGAAATTAGGCAAAATGAGTTAGACAAACCTTTGATCTCAAGAAAAGCTAGATTCGGTCATTATCAATGATACGAGATTAAGGATACTGATCTAAATATGGTCAATTCTTTCAAGCTTTCAGAATTTCAATGAAAAATGCTAGGATCAATCCTTGTGATAGCAAAACAGTGGCTACTGTATTTTTCTTCAACGCTTGTGGGTATAATCCGATTTCTATTGTCGTGGGAGCCAGCATGTGGTCCTGAACCACGCCGGGCCACTGAATTAACTCTGGTCCGATTACGCTTCCCTGATGCCCGCGATGAGGAAAAAGACCGGAGAGGACGTGGACACAAGCGTTTACTTCTGAACTCAACCACGTAGGTGTCGTTGTGTTGCATGTGGTGTTTGCCCATGTGTATTTATACCTCGAATGCATGAGTCATACATGCGCTAACATCAAGACCTAGGTGTGGGGATAATCTAGGATAAGTATCCGTGTGATAGAGGGGGAAGTTGAGGATCCACGCGGCTGGCGACTTGCTGCGAAAAGGGGAACCCTGTGTCGGAGGATGCAGCGATCGGATTGAGGAGTGTGTATAAACACGATTCGCAACACCGCATTCAAACAACGTGTTTCACACACGTCTTACCCTTGAAACACATCTGAGCATATTACGATTCGCAGGCCTATCTGAACGATTCTTCTTCATGATAATCAACTTAAATGTGAACTCCAGCCTTCACACTGTCCAGTTTCGATATTTAATTTTACGGGCCCGCTTTACTGCAGCCCAGTTTGTGGTATTAGGACAAAAGTGTCTCCATTTGTTAGACCAGTGGCCTGATCAAATCTGCAGAAGAATCATGGACGAGGTCAAAATCATTGGTCAGAATTTCCCAAGGGAAAGAATGAACGCTGAGGTTAGTTTATGAACACGAATTTGGTTCTAGCTGATTGGACCCCAGGGGCACTGGCTCAACCTGGATTCCCTTTCAAGGGTAAACAGTTTACTTTTTCCAACGACAGATTTGAAGCATCGCAGCTTATTGCATCAAGATTGGTATGGAAAGATTACGTGTATCACTTCACAAAACGATAACATCTGTTGAAATGTCACACAGTGAGGAGGAAGACAAGTGTGTGTGTTCTGCGTTAGACAGAAGATATTTCTCTATCTCAACCAGTCAATATTTGCAAGTAATCACAAGAGATGCAAAACCGATCGTGTCTGATCACATCATCAGGAAGTGATCATCACGCAAGAGCTACAAATCAGCACGCCACGAGATCGCAATTTGACCTGAACGTAGGCATTTCTATTTAGCTTTGCGTCGAAAGTCGATGATGCTTCCACAAACCCTGGGTGTTGGCGGTATTTGTTAAAACTGTACGCCAGGTTATAGACTACTTGCTAATTTCAGTCATTGAAAAGCAGCCTCCAGACTTACAACTGATCTTGAAATGCCAACAAATCCGACACTGCTGAAGTAACAGTGGCTTAATTCACCTCACGTTATCGTCCTTCAAGTCGTCCTTCAAATCTAGTGACCTTGTCTTGGTGATGGTTTCGAAATCCTCAAACATGATCGATTCATCAACAAATTAGCGGACGCAAAACACTGAATGGGTGTGATTTGAAAGATGCTTCTTTACTCAACTCCCAAACACATCGCAAAGGCCCATCAACCCTTCAGACAAATTTACTGGTCCATAATCTTGCCGTCGACTCTTCTCAGGGGAAATCATTAGTCCGCTAAGTGCTACCTACACATATACTTTATGGTTGTCGAATTCGCCATGACGAGAGTGCTTACGCACGAGGTCTTGTCTCGCTTTGAAGCGGGATATTCTGGCCTATCTGCTAGTCGAAATTACAGCCTCGTGGCGCCGAAATTACCCAACAATCTAACACACCGATGACCATTGTTTTGGGCCGAAAAAACGTGTTAGTAGTGCCGCTTTTGCCGCTAATTACAAAAGAAGTCTTTAGTCAACTTGTAATGGAGCTTTTTCCACCGAATCGCTGCCCTTCAGATCAGAAGCGAACTCAACACGAAACTCTAGTACCACCTTTCTTCTAATTATAGTAGCGGGGATTATGCGAGTCATTAGTGGTGCGCAATGGATTACCGAAGTGATCCGGTTGTAATGTTAGGGATTAGGTTGTTGCATTAGCAGCATCTGCTAATTTAGCTTAGCACGTAGCAACTATTTGTGCCCGTGCAGTTTCGGTGTCCGAAAAGTATTCAGGGGCATAACATTAGATCGGGCAACGTGGAAGCACTCACAGAAACTCGACTAAAATCAAAGCGGCGTGTCGTTAGAAAGGCAGAGGCATTGAAGTAGGTCCGACCGATTCTGCGACCAACGAAAAAACGGTGCATTTCTTTAACAAAGAGATAAACCTCGAGGATTTTCACGTGACTTGGCAAGGAGTGTCTTTTGTTGGGAAATTTTGTGAGTTGTTTAAGCACAAGATACAATCTCAAGTAAAAGGCAAAGTGGAGACGATAAATCTGTTGGTTAGAAGTACGTTAAATCACAAGACTAAGCTTTGAACCCCAGTACTGGAGCTTGGGTCTTAGCCAACCAGATGATGGCGTTAACAATTTACAAGTGCCCTGTGTATGAGCAAATATTTGAGATCAGACCAATTAAATATGTGGACCAGGTATCTATTAATGTGCACTATTACTGTGTGAGCACGCCAAACAAGTTAATATTTTTATCAGTTCTTTGATTATAGCCTTTTCTTTGTTCCTTTCATTAGTGTCACGCCCCACAGACTTCTTTCCCTTTACTCGTCGCGTTTTTTGGTCCGAGTTCCACACTGGTGACCCCGATCTTGGATACTCTTGACCTTCAAATAGCTGAAGATGATGCAGGCAGCGATATGAGCCTATTATATTAATGTGCTCCTTAATCATTCAAGCCCTGATTGACCAACACCCTTCTTGAGGCCTCAACCAGTTCTTCGCCGATTCTGCCGTTTCAAAAAACTTCGAACACCTCACGACAACGAGCAGCCATCGTGTGTCAGGTTTTCAAATGCCCTTTTGGAAGATGAAGTAGGACCATCGACATCACAACACCTCAAGGACTTGACTCTTCGAGCCCAACTCTCCTTGATCATCTTCTTGGACGCCGATCACCCTGCTTCTGAACCACGCGACCAACCTTTGAATCTCCGACAGGAAGAAAAGTGAAGGATCGCTAATGGAAGCACCACAAAACATCATCAGGTGACCTCTTGGTAATCACGATGGAAGGAAAGGCTACCAGTATGCGAACGGTCTTGCCTGGCATGGTTAAATGTGAAACCAATCGCTCAGTGATTTGAAAGTCAACCAATCCAATCTACACACACAAACACACAAATGACGATCCCTTTCTGACAACTGAGTCCTCTCACTGCGACGAGCATTTCACCAGAATCTGAAGAAAGAAGGATGACAAACAGTTAAGAATTCTCACCATGTACGTAAGGTAGGAGATTCGAGGAAGGCTCTGGGTGATGACGTATTTGAAGGTAACTGAGGTGAGAATGAGAGTGAAGGACAATCGGAGACGCAATTCGGCTTTGTCAGGCGAGACAGCGAAGGTCGCGAACGACAGCGCCGAGATCATGAACTGCAACCGCCAACAAGTGTGGTTTGAAGACGAAATGCAAAGTCAACTCGTCATGTCAGTAGCACATGTGATCTCACCTTACCGTACTTGAATCAGAGCTAGCTTAAAAGCAACACACAGCCAAGGTAAATATCATTTTTAATAAACCGAGTACTCTGCATTTCTCATCGCTTCACGAGTTTTCGGACACATTCTTTGTTCAGAATGTTCTTTGTCCTTCATTATAACAAATTTGTTTTCCATTCAGGTTATTTAGCAGAGAACGAAACGGATAAAATCTGAAAATCAACATTAGGGGGATGCAGCAGGTGGTGCTGGAGGGTTTTCCTTTTTGACTTCCTCAGGTTCCACAGTTTCCGTCGAGCAGCACTCGGTCTAGCGCTGTCGTGGTGAAAAATGAGGCTTTTCGATTGGCCAACTTTCGATGTCTTGAAATTTGTCCACCAGTAGCCAAAATCAAATCTTCGCAAAAAATCTTACTTCTTTGCTTCTAGATCCTTTCTGCATTATGCTGCTGAGCAGAAACCAGTTATCGTCTTTAGTTAGGACTTGATTCATGGGAGTTTCGTGTTGTTGAAAACAGGATTTGGTTTGTCCTTTAATCAATAATCTGTTCTCCATAATTTCTCATAACCATCTCCCATCGTTTTACAAGCTCTTGAATCCGCTCTAACAGATTCTCAGAGGTGGACCGGACTAATTTGATTGAGCAACTTGTTGTCTGACGTTCCCGTGGTGAAAGATTACGCCTTTTTCCTTGACCGAATGTGGACGTTTTGCGTTGAAACATATCCCTTTCGTTGCATTCGACACTTCGACCCTTGGCAAGAATTTTGCACGTCCAAATTCCGTGCTTCTAGAACCTTTTTGCGATTGTTGTTTCGTTGAGTCAAAGCAGGAACAAGATTTAAAAAAACGCCTTTAAATATTGTTTGCTGCTCCTTCAACATTATTTCTTTTTTCAATCCCACTAAACACAATAGGAGGGAAAGGTACGCTTTTTTTTAAATTTCCGCTTTAAATTTTAGCCCTGCACACAAATTAATTAAAACAAACGTATGTTTAAGGTTGACTATCGACGCAGTTTGATTAGAAGGAATGAGAGAGGCATCAGCACAGCTAAAGAGCCAGATTCTCCCAATTAGGAAAATTGTGCATGAAATTTTGCAATTCATATTAAATTATAAGAAAATGTACTTTTAAATTAAAAGTGTGCTCACCATGATTAAAAAGACATTCCAGTAGAAGTAGCCAGGTCTGCGAGCAGCCCGACAGGTCACAGAGAGACAGGGGTGACTCTTCATCGATCGAGAGTACTCCTGTCGCATCACGCGCTTCGTGATTTCAACATGCTCGTGCAACTTCCATTCCTGTATTCACCGATTTTAAATAAAACCTTTATCGTTTTAAAATCAGTACCAACAATAGTGACAAAAGATCAGAAATCTGAACTATCCTACACTAGTCGTACAACTACCAAAAGCCTGCATTTTTACTTCCATCTTGCTCACACACCAATTTTTGAATTCAAATACACCGCCACCTTGCCCATTGGCTAAACACCCTCTTTGAATTTGTTCCCTCACAAATTGCACCCAAATTTGGCAAAATCGAAGTACACTAGTTCGGACAGTGTATTGGTCATAATCGGCAGTTAGATTCAGAAAATTGTTACAAACAATCATTTAAGGGGGCCTGCAGTATGCGTTTGGTGTTTGAGAAGTAATGGAGTTGACGTTGAGCGTTCGTACCGCTGCTGTATTTTACAATACGATGCAAAAATAAATCACCCGTCGTATATTACAAAACATTGTTCGTTTGCGCAGGAGGAAAGCCACTGCAACGTTTTTAAACATCGAAATAACGAAACCACAAGTACTTTGGTTACTCAAATCGTGCAAACTTCACAAATTACGAAGGAGATGCCTTCCCTCCAAGGAGTTTGGTGTTCCAAATCAACCCCAAAATGAATTTTTTAATCAAGAACTTTTAAATTGGTTACACTACTTTAGCATCGAGGCATCCGACTTCTGGATGGTAGACTTTTGTTCTATTTGCACACGAAATTGTGGCATAAAGATGAATTGGCCTCTGAGATTACATCAATTCGTTATTTACATTAAAAGCCGATGCAACAGCGCGCCACTTGCAAGCTCACCTGCTGATCCACGAAAGTTTGCTTGTTAATTGCTGAAATTTCGTTGTGGTCAGGGATGAGGTCCACTTCGGTATCTGGTCGCTCTGTTGTAACTGTAATCGTCAGATCCTACCAAAAAATACATGATGTGATTGGAAGGAAACTCTGGCTGTAATTAGAGGGCATTCCCTCAAAAGACTGTGTGTGTAATCTCCACCTAAAAATACACATTTATTTCCTTTTTACAACGGTTTAAAGCAGCCTTTCACAAACGACCCAAAAGCATACTGGCGTAGGCTCACAGGGATTGGCTCAGAAGACGACCTTGAACAGTCTATTGGACGACGTAGTAAAAGTATCGATTTTTGGGGCTCTGAGTTGTGTTATAGCTGCGCAGTTTATGCGCAATTTGTTTCAATTTGACTCACGGTGGATTCATGCTGGAACGGTTATGCTATTTAATTAATAAAAACGTCGGGAGTTTTAGTAGCGACGTTTTACCATGAGGTGATTGAATTAATGCCCCAATTTCAGTAGCTCATTAAGGTTAGGCTAAAAATGACAGCTTATTTTAGAACGCTTTTTTAGGTCAGCACGAGAAGTTGTCCACTCGGCATTGGGTCGATTGATATAGGACAGCACTAGGCACACACACACACGGGAGATTTTGCGAATTAACGCATTCCAAATAGTTAAGGTGAGGTAGAATGTTGGCCTGCCGTGATGTGGGTGGGGAATTCTGTTATCGCGTGTATCACGCCTCACGCAATGCAGCCACCCAAATCACAATCAGGTACCAAAATGTCATTTGCGTAAAATACAGTCCAACTTTTGAAAGAGGGAATAAATATTCAAATTTTAAATTTTCCAACTCATTGTAGACCATGTTGGATAAGCCGTACACAAATCAACAACTGAATATCATTTAGTTATATTTTATGCGACGTTTTAAGCTAAAGGGAAGCTGCGGGACAAACAAAAGGCATGCCGCACACCATCACGAAGACTAAATGCTGGGTCTGTGAATGGGACCTCATCGAGAGTTGTGCAATCAATATTTTGGAATGGTGTGCCCACTTGTTCTTCTACACCTTGCGATCTAACTGAACCATATCGAATCCACTGCTGTCAGAGGAGTGAAGGATGATCAACCACCAAACGTGAATCATTGACACCAGACCACATTACTTAAAAACCAGTGAAAAAACCGGTAGGATAGTTGGTGTTTTAGTGAGCCTTCCAGTAATCATTCCTGGGACGATTGACTGTAATCCAGTTTAGATTCAAATCGACGCAGTCTCGTGCCCTATTCCCAACTTTTCTGGACCCAGTCAAGGTTTACTCGTGATCATATGTAGAGGCAAGGATCACGGGCTGGTTTCTAGTCAATCTCGATAGGACAATTTGGACGAGGGAAGTGACGGTCACATTTGCTGCTGGCGACAGATTTTGGGAGCCAATGTTTGCTTCCTAGGCTGGCGTCGCTATTGTACCATGCGAAACTATTAATGTCCTCCATTAGCGACAATAAGAGCTGGATACTTCGGTGCAGACATGCAGCACTTTTCGCATGGGTTGGTTTAAATATCCATAATTTGGACAAAGAGACGATAAGTAAGAAAACGAATCGATTCAGGGACTGTTTCTAGCCAATTCGGATCCCACATCTAAGCACTAAATTACCAAAATGTTTGAAATGGCAATCCAACCCATGGTGTAGCGGAAATAACGACTAGAATTTCCTTTTTCAACTCATGTAAACACCAATCTAAGGGCACATAGGAGGAGAAAGTGAAAAAAAGTAAGAATCGTTGGAGTGAAACGATTGCTATTCTCCGTTATTTTCACAAAAGACTTATGCAAATAAGGCGAATAATATGCTCCATGGCCCACAGGCAATTTAAAATCGCGTATAAAATTAGCAAAATATAATAGAGAAGACAGAATCGCAATCGAAATTGATAAAAAATATTTTGTCAAACCTCGGATTGTCGTTTTATTCTTTTAGAGAAGGCAACAGACAATAGTCATGCGCCACCGAGGGTAAATTTTTTATGGAATCCACCGTTTCCACATTCACACCGACAGGTGTTTACCTGTGGCAATTCTCATTAATCCATTGGCTGAGGCAGCAAAAGACCTCTACACGAGGTCACGTTCTTGCTCTGTACTAGGATTTGTGTATTAGATCACGGTAACCGGTTGCAAAATCTCCACCGAACCAACTATGACGACAGGGCCCAGCTTCTAAGGCTGTCCAAGCCCTGTGTCTCTCTTCCAGCACCCAGAATCAGTTTCTGCCTAATTTATAATCAGAAATACTCAAATTCCCGCGTGTGCTTGCCTCTGTTTACCTCGTAAACTTCATATGATTTGTTAAACATTTTTAGTCTAGCTCCATCAAGCAGAAAACAGATTGAGCAATTTTCCACAACTAGTCAGTTGATGTTGATAATTAAGTACGGGCAACGGAAGAATGCGTTTATCTTTATTTACTCAGCTATGTCCCTTCCATTTCACCTATACTTTGCTGGATTCTCCGCCCATCACCTAATCAACAGTCGTAAACAAACCATAATCAACGGCATTCATCCGAGAGGTGTGAAATTTAAAACCAGAACACGTAGGTGTGTCTTCACAGGAATGCAAATCGTGAAAGCAAAAACATTTTTTTTCAACGCGTGTTCCATTACCCTCTCATAGATGATTTTCCACGGTTCTGTCGGTTGTGGGTTGCCTGTCTCAAAG